CAGCCTAAACTTGCCTGTCACTTAGCAGGTGGTGCTCTGGGATGTACATCAGGAGCTGTGTCATGCAGCAACTGAGCTCAGGAGATGCCTGAAGCTTAGTGTTGGCAGTCAGGAACCAAGAGCTGCATGTCTTGTAGATCCAGTCCTTTTCAACAGTCCTTGGGAATTTCCCCCACTGCAGGGGTTATGTATAAACAACAACTACCCCATACACACTTGTTTTCACTGATTAAATATTATTTTAAAGAGAATTATTAAAATGCAATAGCCTACATTCAATAAATTCTGAAAAAGTAATCCCGATATGTCTTGTTACATCCCTTTGAAAAGCTCCATCCCAGCATATCTGCCTGGCCACTCAGCTTATCTTGAATCCACCTTAACAGCAGTTTGAGATACACTAGACAGCCTAATCTCTCAAAAAAAAAATCCTATTGCTTTCTATTGAAGTCACTGTTGTGATGCTGAAATGGGGCAGTGGCATCTTAAACATCTACCCTGATGTTGTTGCTTGCGCAGCACTGAACTGGAAGATGAGGGGATCCCACACTGCAGTAGGAAGTTGCTCTGAGCTTTCCGAAGTTGCTGCCACAGCACTTGGAGGGAATCCAGGCTGGCACTGCTTTTTGGGGATGGTGGAATCAGAGCAACAGAAACATCAACTCGAGGAGGGACTGGGTACTATTTATATAGGGCAGTGGAACACATCCAGTGTCCACTGCCTTCCACCTAGGAAAGCCCAGTGTTGCACAGAATTGCTGGGCTGGGGGCATTCAGCGATTAATGCCTCAGGAGTCACTCACTGCTGCTGAGCAGGAGTCAAATCCTGCCACTGTCACTCTGTTTCCACTAGTTTTGTGCCACTGGGAAAACACACTATAGAAAAAGGAAGGACCAAGCCCCAGCTCCACAAATTGTCCTGCATCTGCCTCCTATATTCCAAATTGTCTTCTGGTTTTCTTTCTGCCTCCAGGGAAAAAAGTGCTGATAGTCTATGCACATCAAGAGCCCAAGTCCTTCAACGGATCTTTGTTGAAGATTGCTGTGGAAGAATTGACCAAGCAGGGCTGCAGTGTCACAGTGTCGGATTTATATGCAATGCAGTTTGAGCCACGAGCAACAAGAAATGACATTGTTGGTGAGACTAGCCAAAATACACCTTTATCAACAATACTGACTTGTAGGCCCCCCTTTAGGTAACAGAAGGCTGAGAAATGTCTCCCTAGAGCCTTCCCCATGCTGATCAACCCCAACTGTCTCAGTCTGACTGCATAGGAGAGGTGCTCCAGGCCTTGCATCATCAAGAGATTAATAAGAAACTTATTTCATTAATAAGAAACTTATATAGGGACAGACAGCCTTTCTAGAAGTTCACTCCTGAGCATGAACTTTGTCTCCCAGTGAGATTACTGAGAGGGAAAAATGCATTAGCACATGTCCACAATCAACCTCTGAAATCCATTTCTTATGGTGAGGAAATGTCTTCAGATACTGTTCTGTGACTTGCTCCACAGTTAGTTCATGAGGCTACTGCCTCTGTCTTCTGCTAGAGACTGATATCTGCCAGCTGAAGCAACAGCATGAACCTATATGCCTGATTCAGACATCCTTGAATCAGCTCACCCAACTGCTGTGGAATCAGCAGAGATGGCCAGTAGTGGTTCCCCAGCACCTGCTGAATTTCCCAGTTACAGAGGCCGGAAAGCAGCTCCATCGTGCTTACAAGTGCATGATGGTCTCAGGAAACCCTAAGGCAGAGGCAGAACAATTAGCTAAATTCCCTTAAATCATCCACCTGCATCACCAGAGTCCTGAGCCAAGCTTAAGTCCTTGCACTGACTGCACTTTGTATGTTGCTACAGGAAGGTGAAAGTTTAGGACTCTGAGGCTCTACATTCCTCTCCA